TCGTGCTCCGATCAAGGCGGCGGTGACGGCGAAGGTGTCTTCAGCTTTATTGTCCCCACTCAGTGGAGAAAGTGTAACACAGGTACAGCTGGTGTCTTGGGTGCCTGGGCATATACCTGTGCATCTACCTCGGTCCTTCTGCAGGTTACATTCCAGCTGGGGGGGGGATTTTAACCCCTTCCTCCTTTTTTAATTTCTCCCTCCCCCTGTCCTTACCATGCCTGTCCTTACAGACACGACAAAAATGAGCCATCGCTCCACTCACAGCTTAGGTAGAGGCTTTAAAAAAAAACAAACCCAAAAAATCACAATAGCAAAAAAACCTCAAATAAATAAATGTGAAAAAAAAAACGCGATCCACACTATAGAAAGTGAGAGTGGCGAATCGATCGGTGTCTCAGAGGCGTCACGAGTCCAAGAACTTGTGTGGGTCGTTTTTCTTTTTTCCTCCCCAAACCTGACCACCGCATCCCTATCGAGCACTGATAATTACAAAAGCAGAGGAGATACCTAGATACCAGATACATAGTGTGCAAAGCGAGAGAAGAGCAGGAGAGGGGGGAGAGGGAGGCCCTTCCCCATGAGCAAAAATCTCTGCTTGCGTGAAACCCTCGCAGGTTTTGCTGGTGACTCCGTTGCAGCTGGCGGGAGGGCGGACGCGTGTGCAGCCGAGGCCGTTCCTTCGTCGCCGTCATCATCGTCACCGTCGGGTTGTTTGCCCGGTGGTGGTGGGGGTTTGCCACTACAGAGCCTGCTTACCCTGGCACTCGCGCTTGGAGCACTGCGCCGGCTTCCACCAGTCCCCGTTGTGGCAGTGGCAGATGTTGCAGTCGTCCACCTTCACTTCGATGCCGGCGGGAATGATCGTGGTTCCTGCAAAGCAGTTCGGACCTGCAAAAACACACGGGAGTAAGAAAAATAAATACTTTTTTTCTTTTTTTTTTTTTGTTTTTAAATTGGGTGTAGCAGCTCTGCTATAAGCACCTGGGAGCAGGCAGGTGCTCAGCCCCAGCCCCTCGTTGTGTTCCGGCCGCTGCCCAAATCAGCAGCGACTCTCCCAGCTCTGCCCCACACCAACCACTTATCTCAGATTTTTTTTTTCAGTGCCTTCAGGCACTAAAGAATTAAAAAAAAAGGCCTTGAAATTTTCCTTCTGTTTCTGTACCCAGCCCCTGGTACAAACAGCGTCATGCACCCCATCGATGCGCCCAGCTTTTTCTACTCAGCTGCCCGCTAATTTAGTATCACTTTCTCCTAAGATTTGGCTGCCAGACGGACAAGACCATGAGGACAAGTGCCAGGACACAGACCAGCCTTCGCTACTGTAGCCCGGTGATCCGCAGGGACCAGAGCTGACTCATCCCCCAGGACCATGGCAGCCGTGCCCGCGCACCCGGTACCCTCAGCCACCGCCTCCCCGCAGCTCGGGGCTATTAACCGTGAGTGATTTACAGCGTCAAATTAACAAAAATAATTCACCTCCCAAATAAGTTTTCTGATGCAATCCGGTTTTTCTCAAGATTTTTCTCAGATTCTTTTAATCTGCTCATTACTGGTAATTGTTTTGGCTGCTTTACTACACGATTTCAAAGCTGAGCAGCAAATCAGCAAGAATCTTATTTCGCTCCATCTCGTAAAAGCCCGGTGAATACCCAGTGCCCAGCTGCCCCTTGGCAAACCCCCTCCTCCTCCTCCTCCTCTCTCGCTCCTGCATCAGTTAATGCCGGGAATTAATGTCAGAGCCAGCAGCACACGGAAAAAAAAATCAGGGCGGTCGCGTTTGTGGCATCAGGGAAGCGTGAAGACATTTGACAAGTGGCTCGTGGCTGGAGTGCTGCTCCCAAATGTCACCCCTCGGTTGGCCACCGGTTCTACCCTATGCCTCCAGTGCACAAGGAGCATTCAAAAGACGAGAGTGCGCACGGACATGAAATCACAGGCAAGTCTTTAGTGTTTTCCCTTGGAATACTTTCCCTTTTCCTTTGAAAGGGAAAATAGGGTCCCTACGTGGCTGGAAACAGGCTGAGCTGTAGTCAACCCTACGCCAAGGTCTTGCATTTTATCATCTCAGAGATTTATTCACGTCACCTCGTTCATTTATTAGTGCCCTGGCTTTATTAAGATGTTCCTCAGGACCCTATGTTCAAGCTCAACAGGCCATGAGTTTGACAGGGCTGGGCTTAACTAGATGTAGGTGATTCAAGTCGCTGCCGAGCCAAATGGTGCCCGAACACTTTGTGTTTACGTGACCTCCCACCTTTACCAAAGACCTCTTCAAATGTGGATCAGCTCTACAGCAACTTTTCACATCTGTCTTAACGAAGCTGCAGCAGAAGAGCCTGAGAAAGGTGCCTCTCATGGCTTCTGTACCAGAAATTGGAGTGTCTAGATGTACCCCAGGGCTGCTGCTTCACAGGCAGGAGCTGGGAAGGCAGGCTGTGGTGCTGGGAGGAAGGGGGATGATGCCTCCTCCTTGGAAATTCAACATCACTTGTTGAGCTGGAGTTCAGGCTATGCTGGCCTGCGGGCAGTGGAGGAGCAGCGATGGTTTAAGTCTGCTTTGAGCTGGGCTTTGGGCTGGACAACCCCCAAAGGTCCCCTCCAACCTCAGTCATTCCGTGGTGCAGAGAACTTCAAAGCCACGAGTCTAGAACACGCAGCGGTACAGAACTCCACATAAGCACACGTATCTATACTACATGTGTGTTTCTTTACATGCACATGGTTGAAAAAGTCATGACCCGTTTGGGGCACAAGCTGAAGATTTCCCAAGTTGGCGTCTCTCCAGAAGACACCATCCCAGCTGGAAAGGCTGAGATCCTCACGGCGGTATTTCTCCGGCAACCCATGGAAGTTGTCACTTCTTCCCAAGGCTTTCAGGTCCCTGTGCTGGCTGCGCCGCTGCCTGTGCTCTTCGTCACGGATTTTAATTGTTTGCTTCATCAAGCCTGGCGGGTGGTGGTGTGTGATGACACCCAGTGGGGGCTTCACCATCAGGTTGGCTCATTTGCTGCCGTTAAAAGTCCAGGGTTCAAATGCAACGGAAATGCCAATAATTGTAGCTGGCTGTATTTAAAGTCGAAGTAAGTGCCTCTTCCTCTTCAACAGGGTGCTCTGATTGCCTGCCAATGTCGGGGACACCCAGGGTGGGCAGCCTCCACGCAACAGCTTGCTCTGCACTCCCAGAGTGAAAAAAAACCACCCTCTTTTCATTAAAATTTAAACAAAAAGCTTCCTCCGGAGATGAGGGTGGCAAGGAGAGGGGAAGATTGTTTTCTCTCTTGTTGCCCTGCAGCTGCCTGTTAATCATCTCATTTGAGAAGCCAATACTGCCTCGACACCCACCCACGTCTCCAGACACAGCCTCCTCTGGGTGCGGAACGATGGTGGATTTACAGCACTGCCAGCCCGTTCGACGCGGCTGCAAACACGCGGGAGGCCAGCGGTGCCCGGAGCTGGCACGTGTTCTCACTCACAGGTGGGCCAACCTCCTCTGTCCAGCCCAGATTTGGGGACCCTGTGCCCCCTCCATCGGGTTTTGGATGCATCTCTGCACTGAAACACCGCTTGGGGTCATGGTCAGCCGAGGGCGAGCGAGCTGGGACAGGCCAATGGGGCATTGCAAAGTGGGGAAAAGCTTATTTTTCTTTGCATCCTGCTTATTTATCCATCCTATGGCTCCTCCATCATGGTCACCGCTGTCCTTCTGCCCTTCATCCTCCTCCTCCTCCCAGCAGCCTCAGGTCCTTTCTCCCTCTTGGGATCCCCCAGGGGGGTCATTTGGAAAAAAAATAATCATTCAACATCCCTCATTAATGTCCCCATCCCAGAGCTGAGAAGCAGAGACCGCAACGAAAACATGAGATGGATGAGGAGGATGTACTACAAGCATCACCCCTGCCTTTGAGGTCCACAGTGGAGAGGAGATCACTCGTTTTGGGGACAGCACCACAGCAGCAACGTCCTTGCCCTGGCCAAGGACATAGGGCAGCTCTGCAAAATAATAATTAAATACTAATAATCTGCCCCTCTCATCTCTGGCATCTATCAAGCCAGGAAGGGCCCTGCAAGCCCCTCTGCGCCCAATGGAAAACCCTTGGGATGCTGCACTACCACTACTCTGGACCCTTTTTTTCCCCTCAAAATAGCCACCTCTGCATTGCCAGGGTGAAATGTTTCCTTTTGCATCCTGCAGCAAGCTGGACGGAGCATTTCTGCAACCTCTCTCCCCACCCGGCTATCTCTATCCCTACAGAAACAGGGATTTCAAACGGAAGGCAAAATTTCCACGCTCCATTTCTGATAAATCAACTTAAATTCCCACTGGCTGGAATCACTGAAATCCAACTTTCCAGCACAACCGCTGTCAGTCAGCCCCCTTTTTTTTTTTTCCACATCTAAACCTCTCCCACCTTTACATCGGAAAAGTGGCTCCTGTTCATCCAAACTGGGACGCAGTGAGCATCGCACCCACGGCTGAGGCACGAGAAAGACACACTCGCAGGGGGACGCCGCGCTGCTGAAATTTCGTGGAAAATATGCCCCAGACGAGCGGAATTTTCTACGGAATGGCACAGCCATTGGGGAATTTTCCAGCCATCTCGGGTTTTTATAGAGCCGACAGCTGATGCGTTGCTGGAGACAACATCCAACACCCAGGGATGCTACATGGCTTTGCCTTAGAGGAGCTGCAGCCCATGAGGCCACGACCAGATCACCCAGCAAGAAACAAAGACCTTTTTTCACCCTGCAGCAGAGCTAACAGGACCCCTTTAAGTTCTCGGACTTTTTTTTCCACCCCCTCTCTTAGATCAGCCTCCCAACATTTCAAAAGCTCCGTGCCCCAAACCCACGCTGCTGGGGACCGTCCTGAGCTTTTCCCACTGAGACCAGGATCTGCCAAACGGATGTAAAAAAACAAAAATCACAAAGAATGGGACAGAACAGCACAGCGTCAGAGGGTTTTTTTTTAAATTATTATTCAAAGGAAGATGCTTATCAGAAACATTTGATGACATGTCAAGCACATCAAGAAAGTTACTGCCGATAATAGCAGGGGGAACAAGAAGCTGCTTTGGGCAAGGGCTGTCGTCCTGGTCTTTAAAAAAGCATCTTAACCCATGACTGATGAAAATGGGGCTGTTCAGCCTGGAGAAGAGAAGGCTCCGAGGTGATCTTATAGCAGCTTTCCAGTACTTAAAGGGGGCCTACAGGAAAGCTGGAGAGGGACTTTTTACAAGGGCGTGTAGTGATAGGACAAGGGGCAATGGATTTAAACTGAAAAAGGGCAGATTTAGGTTAGATATAAGAAAGAAATTCTTTACATTGAGGGTGGTGAGGCACTGGAACAGGTTGCCCAGAGAAGTTGTGGCTGCCCCATCCCTGGAAGTGTTCAAGGCCAGGTTGGATGAGGCTTTGGGCAACCTGGTGTAGAGGAGGGTGTCCCTGCCCATGGCAGGGGGGTTGGAACTAGATGATCTTTGAGGTCCCTTCCAACTCAAACCATTCTGTGATTCTATGATTCTATAAAACAGGACAGCAAGCACCCTTTTTGCCTTGCTCAGGGAGACTGATGGGAGAAGCTTGCTGCTCCCACAGACAACGTAGCTGTGAGCTTTGCTTTGCTTTACCTAATTAATACCCATAAAAGACCACAGCACTCCGGGCCGTTTGCTAGAACAACTGTGAAGATTTTTATGGAGATATATTAGGGACGTTCAGACGCTGTTTTGACGGGAGAGATGTAGAAAAATCATATATGGTTTGTTGTCTGGGAAGAGCAATGGCAAATTTTGCAACCATATGCATAAGATCAGATACTTGGGTGATGACTCA